ATACTTCTGAGGTCTTTGATGTGGTTGAAGACTAGATAGTTATAATTTCCTCAGTTATGATAAAAGATGGGTTAGATATAAAACCTTAGACTCACAAATATAAGATAGATAGGATATCTTCTTTAATATTGTAACTGTAATTCTTGCTTAATAATTGTTTTGTTGTATGTAATTTTACTATGTTAAAGTTAAAACCTTCCTTTTTGAAAAAGAAGAAAAGGGGAAGTGCTGTAGATATCGCTCTGTATAAATAAACACAGACTGGCTGGTAGCCAGACAAGAAGTATAGGCAGGACTAACAGAGAGAAGAATTGAGGGAACAGGAAGGCAGAGAGGGAGAATGCCTGGAGCAACCGCCAGGACAAGCAAGATGTAAGGTACCAGTAAGCCATGAGCCACGTGGCAAAGTATAGAATAGAATGGGCTAAATATAAGAGTAAGAGCTAGACAATGATAGGCCTGAGCTAATGGCCAAGCAGTTTAAATAATGTAAGAGTCTGTGTGTTTATTTTATAAGTGGGCTCCGGGACTGGCAGGACTTGGTGGGACCCAGAGAGAAAAGCTCTCCAGCTACAACTCAAGGCAAGAGGTCGGTCCAGTGTGAGGTCTTAGGGACCGAAGTACTTGAGAACAAGGGGATCAGTCATAGCCATGGGCTGGAAACTGCTCACACTACTGCACACAGAAGCTTGCCTGAATCTGGACTGGGGAAAGAGCAGAAAGGAGCTATCGGATCAGAGAAGGAATTAAAGGTGACTCTGGACCTCTCTACTGGAGTTCCTGGGAAGAGGGCACCAACTTTACCATGACAGGAGTTTGGGAGAGTGACCTGAACCCACAGGGTCCCGAAACAAGGTGTGAAGGGGGAGAGTCAGGGATGGAAAGATGAAGAAGACAGAAAGTTTGGGACCAGAAGGTCTTGCATGAGCTGATGGCTCCTGTCCAGCAATTTTATTAAGAAGTGCAGCATCTTACACACTGCTTGTGGGGGAAATGGGCCAAGGTCAGCAGAAAGCTAAATTGAAAAAGAAAATAATGTAGACAAGGAGAGAACAGGATATCTCAGACACAGCAGCTCTCGGACTGATAACCACAGCCTTTCTTTGGGGAAAGCCTGGCACCAAAACCTTAACTCTTGGTAGCCCAGCCCCAGACTGGACCTTGCCAAGTCTGCCCCTGAGCAAGGACACAGAACTAGTGTTTCCTTCTCCCTCCCATCAGGGCCTCTGAGAGGGTCTTGGTTCAGCTTGGCTCCCGACAGAAGACCCTGCCTGGGAGAAGTTTCAGGTTGTGCCAGAGCCCAGCTGTAACTGGCAGTGGCAAGTGGCTCTGTCCCTCAGGCAGCTGGCACTGTGGATCTGGATAGAGAGCTAGAGGCTCAGCTGGTTCCTCTCAACAACCCAGAGGACACACAGCAGGCTTGCGGATCCCCGGGCGAGCTTATGCCCCAGGTTGTCGTCTGGGGAATTCCTGCACCACTTACAGAGCTCATGGAGGCAGGAAAGGAAGGCAGAGAACATTACCCTGAAACCAAAGGGGAAAATTACATGAGCTCTGTGTGTGCTTCTCAGCACTAATAGTCTACTTTTCTGTTAAAGATATATGTCCAGCCTCCACACTTGTGCCATGGTATGTACATACCCCTGCACACAAAATAGTAAATATAATAAAAATTAAAAACAAATAAATAAAAGTATATGTGCGCGGGAGTGGATGGAGTCCTCGGTGAATTATGACAGTCCAATGTGTATTACTGACATGGACATGGCCATGTCAAGGACCCCGGTGCCCGAGACCCAGGAAAATGGCAATGGACCCCGGGTGAGGCTCAGAGGCACGGCAAATATGGTCCAAATGTGCATGTTTATGGATGATTGACCAGCGTATGCAGAAACTGTTGACCAGAGCTTGCTCCTCCCAGAAGGTAACAGCCCGAGACCTCTCCCCTGCAGAGACCTGCCATGCGCACTAGCTAATCCTGCCTCCTGTGCTGTGCCTAATGAAACTGCAGTTTCCGGGCTGTGTGGTAGATGCCCTCCTTCAAAGTGAGTACAGTCCACCCTACCACGGCTTTTCTGTGTGTGTGTCTGTGATTTCTTCATTCCCCAGCCAGGTTCCCAGGACTAAGCCCTGCAGGACGAGGCACGTGTATTTACAGATCTTCAAATTATCCTGTGCACTTTTCTTTCCCTTTTTATTTTGTATTTATTTCCATATTTACTTATTTGTCTAGTTGTGGTGCTGATGGATTGAATTCAGGACTTTGCACATATTAGACAGATATTCTACAAAACCCTCCGTTTTTACATTTATTTCGTGTGTGTGTGTGTGTGTGTGTGCGCGCGCGCGCGCCACAGTGCATGCATGGTGATCAGAGGGCAACTTTCAGGAGTCTGGTCCCTCCTTCCATCACGTGAGTCCTGGGGACCTAACTCAGGCTGTCAGGCTCGGTAGCAAGGCTTACCCACTGAGCCATCTTGATAGCTCAAGGCCTTGGTGTTTTGAGACAGGTCCTTTTTATATAGCCCAGGCTAGACTCTAATTTATGGTTCTCCTGCCTCTACTTCCCGAGTGTTGCCATCACAGCTGGTACGACGTACAATTTTTAGGTAGTACTAGGAATTGAACCTAGGGCCTCCTGTACGTGAGGTAAGTGCTCTACCGCCGGGCCACAGCCCCTGTGCAGATTTTAGACAAATATTTTAGTAAAACTCAGAAGGCATCGGAACAGAGCACCAAGTTATTTCACCTGCACACTCACCAGCTGCTTTTACAAACTGGGGATGGTTTTCCTTTGGGCAGAGGCACTCTGAAACGATGCAACGTGTTGGAAGAAGTCCAAATTATCTGTCCCGTCCGAAGCTCACGTTACTCCACTGTAAATAAGAATCATAACATCAACCTTCCAGGACTCCCTCTGAGGAGCTGAAATGGTGTGTGGAGGCACTGGAACACAGCAGGCTTTCTGGACCTCTTTTGGTTTTTTGTTTTAGTTTTTACTATTTTATGTTAAAAGTAATATCAAAGAAAAACAACCGAGGTGAGCAGAAATATCTTCCTTTATGTTTCCACGATAAGCAGAATTCTAAAGCGGTCTGGGTGACTGCTAGCCTCCAGTACCCCTTATTTAATCACCTCCCTTTCAGAGGAAGCAGAATCTGCAGCTCATTTGTATGTAAGAACGATTTGACAGGTCCAGGGAGATGACTCGCTGGTCGAGAGCACTGGCTGCTCTTGCAGGGGACCCAGGTTCAATTCCCAACAGCCACACGGCAGCTTAAAATAGCCTTAGCTGCAAAACCAGAGGATCTGGTACCCTCTTCTGGCCTCACAGACATCAGGCATGTATGTGATGCACAGACACACATGCAGGCAAACACTAACACACATAAAACAAAAACAAATAAATATTTTTTAAAAAGTATGACAATTAGTTGTGGTGGCACATTCCCGTATCCCCCGATGCAAGCCTTAGGAAACTGAGTGTCTTAGTCACAGTGCTATTGCTGTGAAGAGACACCATGACCGGGACAAAGCTTATAAAAGAAAGCATTGAGTTGGGGCTTGCCTACGGTTCAGAGGTTTAAGCCATTGTCGTCATGGAGGGAAGCATGGCGCCGCGCAGGTTGGAGAAATAGCTTGAGAGTTCTTCATCCAAACCAGTAGGCCGCAGGAAGAGAGGGACCCTGGGCCTGGCTTGAGCATTTGAGACCCTAAACCTCATGCCCAGTGACACACTTCCCCCACGCCTCCCAATGCCACTCCCTAAGCATTCAAATACATGAGCCACGCCTGGCGGTGGTGGCGCACACCGTGGGAGGCAGAGGCAGGTGGATCTCAGTGAGTTCGAGGCCAGCCTGCTCTACCAAGTGAGTTCCAGGAATGTTACACAGAGAGACCCTGTCTCAAAAACCAAAACAAAACAAAACAAATACGTGGGCCTATGGGGCCATTTTTATCCAAGCCACCACACTAAGGTAGGGGGATTATTGAGAGTCTGAAGCCAATATGGCCTACATAGCAAGATGGTGCCTTTAAAAAGAGGAAGAGGTGCATGCACCAGGGGTGGAGGGGTGAGGAGGGGGTGCAGGGGGTGGTAGGGCGTGGTAATTGGAGAAGCCTCAAGCCTTCCCTGGGGTAACCCAGCGCTGGGACCTCAGGCCTCTACCACCAGAACTTGGTGTTCCCAGGTCCAAGTGATTATCGTTTTAATGAGACTGGGAGACGGGAGTCCCAGTCCCAGATCTGCAGGTCTGCCCTTCAACCCCAGGGGCTTTAGGACTTTTTGTTGTTCTCGTTACTGCGGCCCTTAATTTAAATTGGTTGCTGTTTGAGTTATTGGGGTTTTTCTCAACTATTTCTCAGAATTACCTGCAATGCTTTCAGAGTCTAGCAGGGTCTCGGGTATTTCGAAATACCTTATTTCCACAACACCCTGCAGCAGGGTTTGTAGTTGAGGTTTGAGTTTACTGTGTTCTGTTTTATTTGGAACTTTTGTTTGCTTCCTTGGGTTTTGGTGGTGGTGGTGTTTTTGAGACAGGGTTTCACTTCGTAGCCCAGGATGACCTCAAGCTCCAAATCCTGCCCCAGCTTCCCACATCACTGTGTGGTCACGCGAATGTACCACCCGTAAGCTGTTTTGTAGAGCTCCGTCTTGTTAGTTTGGGGTTTTATTTAATAAGATTGGGAGTTGTTTGGTTTTGTTTGTGTTTAAGATTGAGCCTCACATTGTAACACAAGCTGGTTTGGAATTCACTATGAATGGCCTCAGGTTTGCAGCAGCCTCCTGCCTCAGGCTCCTTCCTGTGCTGTGAGGGGGTCTCTGCAGATGTCAGGCAGAGAAGCAAACCTCAGAGACAGGAATGAAAACTCAGATCAGACTGACTTCATCAACCCGGATCAAGAGTTCCAAAGCGTCAGGCAATTTATCCCTAACATATTTAAGTCCAGTATAATTTGGGGCGGGGGGGGGGGGGGGGGGGAGTTTCCTGGTGTAATACAATCCCCAGTGCACAGGAATCTTAATTACATTGACTCAGGATACAGTGATTGCTTCCAAGAAGATGGGTTCTAGAGATAGGCTGACTGTACTAGCTTCAGGGCCTAAGGCCTGGTCTCAGTCAAGCAGATAGTGTAGAGGTCATTTGGGCTGTTAGTCACCTCTGGTCCTGGTGGTGGGAGCTTGGGGGCCCCTGGCTTTAAGGGTCATTTAGATTACTAGCCACCTCCCATCCTGGTTGTAGGAGCTTGATTTGGCCTGGCCCAAAAGATAACGCAGATCACTGGGCTGTTAATCACTTCCAGTCCCTGGCCTTCTGGATGGAAGAACAGGTTTTTCATCTTTCCCAGTGGAAAGACAACCAGCATGCTTAACATTCCTGGTTTCTCTGGAGATCTGCGGGCTCAAGGATTTGTATGATCCCAACAGTGCTGGAATTCCATCCACCATCCACCACTCCTTGCTAACAATAATTTTAAGAGCACATGCCCAGTAAACAAAAATTATAAAAGATAAGAATAAACAAGGAAAAGCTTTCCCCTCCCCCCAATCCTTACAAGTCGCCATTATTACTGGTGTTCTAATGTAAAAATCCCCAGTGTTTTATATAATAACAACACATACATACATACATACATACATACATACATACATACATACATTTTCTTTCCTACCACTTACAGGAGGTGAAATGTGAACTGAAACCCCATCAAACCTCTACTGATTTGCTGGGAATGCAGAGGAGAGCGATTGTGATACACCACACGATAAGGAAAGCAATCAATAAGACCAAGATGGAGAAACTTGCTATGAAAATAGCCCAGTTACTTCAACTAAGGAAGGACAGGGGAAAAGAAAGGCCAAGAGGACACATAGTACCAAAGAGTTAGAAAACATTACAATCAGGGACTGGAGAGATGGCTCAGAGGTTGAGAGCACTGGCTGCTCTTTCAGAGGTCCTGAGTTCAATTCCCAGTACCCACATGGTGACTCACAGCCATCTCTAGAAGGATCTGATGCCCTCTGCTGGCCTGCAGGCATATATACAGATAGAGTGCTCATATACATAAAATAAATAAATCTTTAAAAAAGAAAGAAAGAAAGAAAACATTACAATCGCTCATGGCACGTACAGGTCTCCTCAATTCCAATGTAAAGGTTTGCTGTTTTGTTTTGTTTTTTAAGATTAATTTATTTTTATTTTATGTGTATGAATGTTTTTGCCTGCATGTATGTCTGTGCACCACATGCATGCCTGGTGTCCCGGGAGGCCAGAAGACAGGCTTTGATCCCCAGGAACTGGAGTTGCAGATGGTTGTAAAGGGGACCTGGGAACTAAATCCCTGTGCCAGAGCAAAAACTGTTCTTAACTGATGAGCCATGCCCCAGGCCCCAAGTTTTTATTTGTACTGATTTTGTTTTGTTTTAAAGTTTATTTGAAACGAAGTCTCAGTATGTAGTCAAGGCTGGCCCTAAACTTGAGATTCTCCTCCTGCTGGGTGCTGGGAGGGGACTACCATACCCAGCAAAGATTCATTTCACATATAAATACAAAACAAAAACCTCCAAGCAAAAAACGGTGAGGTACTTGTCCAGAGACGTCAGCTAGCAGCTTTAAAATACATACATTTCAGTTGGGCATGGTGACGCACACCTGTAGTCCCAGCACTTGAAACACAGAGGCAGGAGGAAGAGGAAAGTTTGAGGTCAGCCTGGCCTAACAGAGTGAGTTTCCAGCCAGCCAGGGATGCACAGTGGCAGCCTGTTTCAAAAATAAATAAACAATGTGTTTATGTCCCCATGATATAACTCAACTTTGAAGGGAATTCCAGACACTGTATTGTGTCCCAGTGAAGTGTTTCTTTATGTATCCTTAAAAGATAAAGGTCGTGGGACAAGCTCACATCTAAAACAGTGAACAGTTCATCTTTAATCATTAAAGACACAGTTAGTGTTCAGATTTCAGTTTCCTTCTTTGTGTATGTATCTGAGAAACACTTTGAATGGGGGCCAGCGATGTGGCTGGGGCGGGGGGTAAAGACAGTTTACTAAGCTGGACAACCCAGGTCCAGCCACTGCGACTCACTTGGTGGAAGAAGAGAGCCGATTCCTCCTCACATTGTGAGGCCCTTGACACAAGTGCTAGAGTGCAAACCCCCACACCCACCATGCACACCACACACCTACAATACAGACAATTAAAAAAATAACAATACATCCCAGTACCCTCAAGGGGCAGCCGACAACCACCACTCCAGCTCCACAGGCTCGAACAACCTCCTCCGGGCTCCAGGGGCACCCTCATACACTTGGCATACACTCAGACATACTCATATATTTTTAAAGTGATCTTTAAAAAAGAAAAATCTCTTATAGACATGCTCCAGGATTTGTTTCCATCGTGATTCTACATTCTGTAAAACTGACCATTAAAGCTGACCATCCCATATAACCACTGAGTGGAAAAGAGTTGAGATTCAATGCAAGGCCGCCTGGTGTCAGATCCTGGGCTCTTGCCTCCTAATGAGAGGTGATAGCTGCAGCTAGCTAAAAAGTGCGTGCCTGGGTCCAGCTGGTCTCTCACTTGTCCCCCGAGGTCAAAAGCCAAAGAAAACCAAACCGCAATAAGAAAGCCTCTTGCTGAAGAGATGGATATGCGGTTGAGAGCACTGGCTGCTCTTCCCGAGGACACAGGTTCAATTCCCAGCACCCACAGGGCAGCTCACAACTGCCTGTAACTCCAGTTCCAAGGAACCCGATGTTCCTTTCTGGCCTCCGTGGGCAGTGCACACACACGGTGCAAGGACTCACACGCAGGAGAAACAGCCAGATACAAAAATAATAAATACTGAAAGGAAGCCCCTTGCAGGATACCGGGCTGTCTATGGTCAACCTGATCAGCCTGAAGCACCATTTCCTGTTTAAAGGAAGTCCCATTGCATTGAACAGTTATCGGAGGCCCAGGACACACCATAAGGCCTCTGAGAATTTGAACTCACTGCTTTTAGTGACGTCCAGTGCCTTTCTGTTCCCAGTCAGGTTAGCCTGGAAGTGAGTTCTTCCAAGTCAGCTGACGTCAAATCTGATCCTGCCGGCATGGCTCTGTCTACTGTGTGAGCACCTCACTGTCCTCTGCACACTGTGGCTCCACCTCTTCCTGAGCAGCCTCTTTCCCGATCCCCTAGGGGCCTCTGCCCATGCTGCCTGCTGCTTGGAACATTCATTCCTAACCTTCCTGGCTCTTAGCCTACAAGCCCCTTTCTGGAAGAGACCTTGCCTTCCTCTGTGGTGGTTTTAATGCAAATGGCCACCATAGGCTCATATATTTGAATGATCGGTTCCTAGTTGGTGGAACTGTTTGGAAAGGATTAAGGGGTGTGGCCTTGTCAGAGGAGGTGTGTCACTGTGGGTGGGCTTTGAAATTTCAAAGCCCCTCACTGCTTCTTGTAGTTTGATGGGTTTTTTTTTTAACTCTTTATTCTTTTTGGGGGCCCACCCACCCCCAAATAAATCACACACGGAGGCTTATTCTTAATTATAAATGCCTGGCCTTAGCTTGGCTTGTTTCTAGCCAGCTTTACTTAACTTAAATTATCCTGCCTACCTTTTGCCTCTGGGCTTTTACCTTTCTCTGTTTCTTTTACTCTTACTCCGTGTCTGGCTATGTAGCTGGGTGGCTGGCCCCTGATGTCCTCCTCTCCTCCTTTTCTTGCTCCTTCCTCTCTTTTGCTTCCTAATCCCTCTTTTTCTCCTTCTACTTATTCTCTCTGCCTGCCAGCCCCTCCTATCCTTTCTCCTGCCTTGCTATTGGCTGTTCAGCTCTTTATTAGATCAATCAGGTGTTTTAGACAGGCAAAGTAACACAGCTCCACAGAGTTAAGCAAATGCAACATAAAAGAATGCAACACATCTTTGCATCATTAAAACAAATACTCCACAGCGTAAACAAATGTAATACACCTTAAAATAATATTTCACAACAGTTTCTTGTAGGCAGATTTTTCTATCCACCAGCCAGCTCCCAACAACAACACAGAGACTTATTATTAATTATGAAAGCTTAGCCGATAGTTTGTTAGGCTTGTTTCTAACTAGCTCTTATAACTTAAATGAACCCATTTCTATTAACTTACTTTCTGCCTCGTGGCTTTATTACCTTTACTCTATACTGCTCATGCAGCTTTCCTGCTTCCTCCGTGTCTAGCTGAAGACTCAGCCTTCTTCTTCCCAGCCTTCTCTGTGCCCTGAAAATCCCGCCTAGCTATTGACCACTCAGCTTTTTATCACAGCGACACATTTTTACAGTGTACAGAAATATTCCACAAGTTTCTAGTTAGCGCCCTCTCTCTCTCTCTCTGTGCGTGTGTGTTTGTGTGAGCTGCCTGTTGAACAGGATGTAAGCTCTCAGCTATTACTCCAGCGCCATGCCTGCCTATCTGTGGCCATGCTCCCCACCATGATGGTCATGGACTCACTCTCTGAAGTTGTAAGCCCCCAACTAAATGCTTTTTCTTTTATAAGTTGCTTTGGTCATGAGTCTCTTCCCAGCTGTCTTAGTCAATATTCTATTGCTGTGGAGAGACACCATGACCACAGCAACTCTTATAAAAGGAAAACATGTAATAGGGGCTGGCTTACAGTTCAGAGGTTCAGTCCATTATCACCTATGGTAGGGAGCATGGTGGCATGCAGGCAGACATGGTGCTGGAGAAGGAGCTAAGAATTCTACATCCAGATTTGCAGCAGCAGGCAGAGAGACACACTGGGCCTGGCTTGAGCACTTGAAACCCCAAAGCCTACCCCCAGTGACACACTTCCTCCAAAAGGCCACACCTACTCCAACAAAACCACACCTCCTAATCCTTACCAAGTAGCCCCACTCCATAATGACCAAGCATTCAAATCTATGAGCCTATGGGGGCCCTTCTGTTGTGTCTGAGGTCTCCCAATAATAGGAGACAGACCACCAAAGTCTATTAAACTGGAAGCAAACTTTATTCCAGAAAAATAAAAAAATTAAAATAATTAAAAAAAAACACCACAGGGTACAAAAGATTATCAGCTAGCTGAGACCACAGCCAATGTTGGAATTCTAAGGCTGTGGCAGCTGGAGAGGGGTTATGAGCCTCTCTTTATAGTAAGCATGAGACATAGACAAAGGAAATTTTTACAATTTTAAAGTTAAACTTTTGGAGACAAATTGTTTTAGGTTTTTACAATTTTCCATGAACAAGGTCTTAGGAGGTTTTGGCTAAACAATATTTGTGTATCCTGCAGCCCTGCTTGACTCAGTTCATTGATGTTTGTCCAAACCTGCAGCTTTTCCTGACACAGCTGGGCTCCCATTGGCGATACAACACAACGCGAGGCAGGTGGCTGCACACAGAACTCATTAAAAGTGAGCTTTGGTTTCAGCAGTGAGCAGTAGAGGCTGTGGAAGAATAGCTAACCCCAGGGCTGCAAAGGGCAATCTTTTCTTCGAGACAGGGTTTCTCCGTGTAATTTTGGTGCCTGTCCTGGATCTCACTCTGTAGCCCAGGCTGGCCTTGAACTCACAGAGATCTGCCTGACTCTGCCTCCCGAGTGCTGGGATTAAAGGTGTGCGCCTCTGCCCACTGCAAAGGGCAATCTTTAGTAAAAAGAAAACTAACATTTGGGTTGTTGACAGAGCTGCCCATTGTAAAACATGGAAAGGCCCAGTTAAAGGTTAATCCTTTTTTTTTTTTTTTTTTTTTTTTTGCTAGCCAAGCTAATGGTTGTCAGTTTTTAATTTTTAAGTTTATAATTTTATATTTCCATATTCCTGGACCTTCAATTCCTATTCAAGCCGCCACAACAACAGAAAAGTAGCTAAGACAAGCCTCCAGAGCTTAGTGAGAGCGTTTCCACCCCATTTTCTGACAGCACTACTTCCTATCTTAATGCTTGTTGTTATTTCTTATGGTCACTGGTTTCACATCCGTCTTTCTAGGTACTAAAAGTCTAGGAGGCCAAAAGCCACTCTGTTTGGTTTAATCTTGTGACATCACTGCCTAAGTAGTCCTGATTGTCCTGGAACTCCCTAAGGATGGCCTCAGACTCACAGACAGCCTCCTGCCTCTGCTTTCCAAGTGCTGGGAGTTTTAAAGGTTTGTGACACCACACTAGCTTGGAATTATGTTTTTCCTTCCGCCACCAGGGACTGAATCCAGGGTCTCACACGTGAGCAGCAAGCATCCTACCACTAAGATACACACTCAGCCTCTGCTTGCTCCTTGGGACAAGGGTTCGCTAAGTTTTCCGGACAGGTGATCCTCCTGCCTCAGCTCACAGAGAAGCCAGTTCAGTCTTGCTTGTACCATCAGGCCTAACTCTGAAACTTCTTAAATGAATTAATGATACTACACCTAATAATGCCTCTAAGAGGGAGAAATGGCCAAGAGGCCCTTTCTTAATAATGTTAATTGATGTTTATAAAAGTACACGTTCTCAATCACACATATTAAATAGATGACTAAACCTAGTCTCCCCAATCACAAGGACAATCTCTTGCTTAAAGGTCAATTTCGAAAGATAAATAAAGTATAAATGTCAGTTCCTGAGACACAAGCCAAGCTGGGCCTCAGGCGCTTTCCTGAGAATTGTGAGCTGGCCATCTCCTCTTTTATTGTTTGTTTTGTTGTTGTGTGCTTGTATCTTTGTCTCAGGCACCTTTGTTGAAAGGAAACACAGTCACACCCAACAGGCGAGGTTTCTCTCTCATTCTGCCTCACACAAAGTCACCTCACGGACGCCCATCTTCTCTAGTGTGTGTCCTACAGGCAAGTTCTCAGCCACAGGCCGGGGATGCTTCTCAGTTCCTAAGGCCCAGAAGCATGATGGCCTTCCTCTTAGAGGCACAGGACTCCACAGACCCCACGGGACTCCACAGACTCCACAGACCCCACGGGAAACTCAACGTGGCATGTTGTTTCGCGGTTCCCTAAGACTAAGCTGAGGCAGCGAATGGACAGTGGAGCTCATGAGCAAAGTGATGGGAGCATCTTTGTGGTGGAGAGGCCTTGCAGCAGAGCACAGGGAGACGGGGAGACCGAGCACAGAGAGCAGAGAAACCCCACTCCCACCTCCTCAGGACAGGTGTCTGTGCATGTCTCAGCCCTCCTCCCTGCTCCCTTTCAACTAAGGGGAGGAAACCTTACCGTGCTTCTCTATGGACTCATCACGGCCCCAAGTTGGGGTACATTCAAAAGGAGGGGAGAGAAAACACAGGGGTGGGGGAAGGACTCGGGCAACCCACTGCTCACTAACAGGTAAGTGGATTAACAACTAGTCAGAAAAAAAAAATTATATGTGTGCGACGAGGTGAACAGATCTCCAATTATGTTACGATCGGGTACGACAGTTCCCTTCTGCAGCCCAGCAGTTGGGCGTCTGAGAAGGGGGGTCCCTGCAGAATTGGTGCCAGCCTGAGTTACATAGTGAGACCTTGTCTCAAAATAACAAAAAGGTGTGCATTTGGGTTGCACTTCTACAACTTGTTCAACGATCCCGGATGAGCTATTCAAGCTAAGGCTTTTTCCCATTATCTATAAAGACAACAATAATGAAAGATGCTTTAACTGGAGCTGTGAATAGTAAATAAAAGAGACATTAGAAACCACTAAACAGAGGACCTGGTCCACGGTCAAGTGCCAGTAAGTAGAGGCAATGATTACTTTTGTAGCAATATTATCAACCTAAGGAAGACATCGAATGGGAGATGGGTCTAACGCAGGATTAATCTCACTGTATTAGTTTCTCCTCCAGGGTTAAAATACCAGATGCTATTACCACTTCCTCCTCATTTGTGTCTGCCACAGAGCATCAGGGAGCACGGGCTGGGGCTGGGAAGAGTCCCAGACAGGCCACTAAGCCTCTTGTGCTGTGAAAGGAGGTGAGCTGGTGAAACCCTCCCCCAAACGCCCCCACAGCCCCCTCCTCCTGCCGGGACGAGCTAAGCTGGCTGGAGCTATGGCCTCTGGGAGGGAGAGTCAGTTTCCCAATTCCATTCCCAAGGAAGCCACCACCCTTCTGGATTTCTATTCAGGGTGCATTCAGAGGGGGTCGGGGTGAGCTGAATGCAAAGCATGGATATTTTAACCCCCTCTTCCCAAACGCAGAGAAGGGGCCCAGATTTTCAGGGAGTAATCCTACTTTCTCACATCCTGTAAAACCAGACTGGAGACTTACCCTCTAACAGTGTGTGAGGAAAGGCAGCGCTGTACTTCTGTCCCCTGGCTATAAAAACAGGAGATAATAATGGGACCAACTTCATTAAGTCCTCTGTGAAAATAACACAAGCCAGTATGTCTAAAGGGCTTAGAACACTCCCTAGTACGTCCCAAGAGTCCTGCAGGTGCGGGCTAAACGTCACCAGGGATTTTATTGCACACAGCTTGTTTGTAACACCATTTATTCATGGTCATGTTTCTCAATCACTAAGCATCAACAATGGCCTTGTCATAGGATATTTCAACCCCAATGCACCTCTGAGAAAGAAGTTTGGCTGGAGGCAGGTGTGTGTGCATGTGTGAGCATGGCTGTGTGTGTGTGTGTGTGTGTGTGTGTGTGTGTGTGTGTGTGTGAACATATTGAGGGTTGAATCTAGGGCCTCAGTGCATTCTCTGCAAACCTTCCAAGTTACGCCCCCAAGCCCTGACTAATGGCTCGTAAGTACCTTTCAAACCAGAGGCATCCAGCTTTTCCACAGAGCCACAAATGGTTATACCTGCTCATTTTATTTTTTGAGAAAATGAATCGCACATGAAACAATCCAGCAAAGATTTGAGACTAATTGGTAACTTGATTAATAATAACTTAAAAATGTTCATTCAGTAAAGAGGACTCACTCCATCTATAACAATGTCTGGAATTCATTTTGGATTCACAAAGCTCCTGTAAGCAACTCCAGAAACCCTCAGCCTAAAACAGCATCAGGAAAGTGATCAGCCCATCAGGTGCCTTCACCAGCAAAATCAAGACTTTGAAGGAGAAAGTCAGTATGCTACACTCCACAAGAGAACCAAGGCAGCTGTCTTCAGCCAGGGAGACAAAAGTGGATAGTGTCGCGCACGGCCCTGGACCAGACACTTCGCTTCTGTTAACTCCACTGTTAACTCTGTGGCCTATCTTGCAGAACCCTCTGAAAAGTAAACGAGAGGGACAATTATAAAGTGAAAATTCATCTCAGTAGGGAATAGAACAATTAGGAATGGAATGGGGGTGCTGCTGAGGTAAAAGAAGACTTTGCCCAAAGCCCAATGCTCTCGATTTAATGAAAATCCAAGAGCTTACTCTAAATTGGAAAAACTAGGGAATCTACTATGTATGACCAGCTCCTGGTAAACACACACACACACACACACACACACACACACACACACACACACACGGAGCCTTAACACCTCCCGCTCTGCCTCAGTTATACTGAGGCAATTGTATCAGTCCAGGTTCTCAAGGAACAGAACTCATAGAATGAAATATGTATGTATTTTTTTCATAAATATATGGCTTACAAGCTGGGGTCCACAAACAATGGCTGCCTACCAACAGAAGGTCCATAAATCCCGTAGTTGCTGAGTCCACAACGGGGGATACCTCAGCTGTCTTCAGTATCTGCCAGAATCCAGAAGTAGGCTCTAACACCAGTGAAGGAACAGACTTGCCATCCAGAGCAAGCTTCCTTCTTTCATGTCCTTTATCTAGGCTGCCAGCAGAAGGTGCGGCCAGATTAAAGGTGGATCTTCCCACCTCAAAAGATCCAGATTAAGAGTGCTTCTTCTCACTTCAGATTATTTCATTAAGAAAAAAAATCCCTCACCGGTCACTTTCTAGTTATTTCCAGATGTAGTCAAGTTGACAACCAACAACAGCCATCGCATTAACTATAACCAAGGACAGATTTGGAGAAAGAATCCTCAAAACATTTCTGTTCCACTGTGTCTTCACATACATCAAACAGACAAGCCCCCCCACCCCCCGGCCACGGAAGCAATTACAAAAGTAGTGATATAAAAATTAATTCAATAATAAGTACTTGAGCGTCTGGGCTGTGTCAGACATTTGTGGGCTCTGGAGGTATCAGAACATCAGGCCAACTTCACCAGAGACAGCGTAAACAAGAAAGCAAACAACTTCAGATGGTGAAGACACACTCGGCAGGCAGGAAAAAGCTAACTCCTTGCGTGGGTTAATTAGAAAGATCGCTTCATGGGTCCAGAGCAAAAAAATGAGCAATCTCTGCGGTAACCTGGCACCGCAGAGGTTAACGCAAAGTATTAAATGGGGGGGGGGGGGTTAAAATTACAAGCCACGAACAGGGATTCTAAAGCCTGAGGGAGAACCCCAACAGACTTCTACCAAATCCGCAGCAACGCGGAACGTTCGTGATGGTAAATCTGTTAAAGCGAGGACACCGCCCTAAGTACAGGAAACCGCCCGTACCCAGGACACATAACTGGACAGAGCGGCTTCAGTCGTAGATGACTGGTACACAGCATTCGTGGACACAGGTTTAGGGTGTGTCCTGGAGCCCTCTAACCGCCAAAGCAATCAAATCATCTCACTTTAGGTCCATAAATAAAGCGCCCGAACACCACAGTCGAGAACACGGAAGAAACCCGCCCAGAGGCCGACCTCCATTAACCTAGTTTAAAACTCAAAGAAGCTAAACCGGGTGCTAGGAGCTCTACAGCCAACTGCAAACCAGCTCAGGGAACCTCAAAACTACAAATGCTTAAAACTGAAGTGTACCTTCTCCAAGACCCTCAAAGTAACTTTGGGATAGGAACTGGAAACTAGTGCAAGTGGACAAAGCTCTTTCCTGATTTAAGCGGGTGGCTCTTGCAAGAGATTTTAGAGAGCAAAAGGGCCAGCGAGCGCCTCATCCAGGAGGGCTTCTACTTGGCGCTGGTGTACTTGGTGACGGCCTTGGTGCCCTCGGACACAGCGTGCTTAGCCAGTTCCCCGGGCAGCAGCAGACGCACGGCCGTCTGGATCTCCCGGGACGTGATGGTCGAGCGCTTGTTGTAATGCGCCAGGCGCGAAGCCTCGCCTGCGATGCGCTCGAAGATGTCATTAACAAAGGAATTCATGATGCCCATGGCCTTGGACGAGATGCCCGTGTCGGGGTGCACCTGCTTCAGCACCTTGTACACGTAGATGGAGTAGCTCTCCTTGCGGCTGCGCTTGCGCTTCTTGCCATCCTTCTTTTGCGCCTTGCTGACAGCCTTCTTGGAGCCCTTCTTGGGAGCCGGGGCAGTTTTAGCCGGCTCAGGCATGATTGAAAATAAACACAGGAAGGTTGCCTAGGAAGCGGGAAAACAAGCTGGAACCCGGATGACTTGAGCCTTTTATAACCACCTTATGTAAATTAGGCCTCAAAATACTTCGCATTCCCATTGGCCCATACACGAAACTTCCGTTTTCGGTACAAGCCTACCTAACAAAGACTCTGACTTCCAGATTTCATTGGACTTCTCTGGGGCCAAATTACGACCAATGAAAAGCTGGCTCCTGACCCCACCCCTAGGAAAGCTTATAAAGGCCTTATGCCGGTACACCCTAGTACTGTAGTAAAGTCTGCAAGAGTTGGTTTTACTGTAGATTAAAGTCATGTCTGGTCGCGGAAAGCAAGGAGGCAAGGCCCGCGCCAAGGCCAAGTCGCGTTCGTCCCGCGCCGGCCTGCAGTTCCCGGTGGGGCGCGTGCACCGGCTGCTGCGCAAGGGCAACTACGCGGAGCGCGTGGGCGCCGGCGCGCCCGTGTACATGGCGGCCGTGCTGGAGTACCTGACGGCCGAGATCCTGGAGCTGGCGGGCAACGCGGCCCGCGACAACAAGAAGACGCGCATCATCCCGCGCCACCTGCAGCTGGCCATCCGCAACGACGAGGAGCTCAACAAGCTGCTGGGCAAAGTGACCATCGCGCAGGGCGGCGTCCTGCCCAACATCCAGGCGGTGCTGCTGCCCAAGAAGACCGAGAGCCACAAGGCCAAGAGCAAGTGAAACTGACGTCAACCCAAAACAAAACGGCTCTTTTTAGAGCCACCAAGTCTTCCTACAAAGAGCTAATGCTCTAGTTTGTTGTTATCAGCCCTTCCGTTGACTCTTTGGTGGCTCTTAAAAGAGCCTTTATGGATGGAAAGGGAATATTAACTTATTTGTTCTTGCCGGGTTTGTGGCTCTCCGTTTTCTTTGGTAATAAGACAGCCTGGATATTGGGCAGGACGCCGCCCTGGGCGATGGTGACACCTCCTAGCAGCTTGTTCAGCTCCTCATCGTTCCTCACAGCCAGCTGCAGGTGGCGCGGGATGATGCGCGTCTTCTTGTTGTCGCGGGCCGCGTTGCCCGCCAGCTCCAGGATCTCGGCCGTCAGGTACTCCAGCACGGCCGCCATGTACACAGGCGCGCCGGCGCCCACGCGCTCCGCGTAGTTGCCCTTGCGCAGCAGCCGGTGCACGCGCCCCACCGGGAACTGCAGGCCGGCGCGGGACGAACGCGACTTAGCCTTGGCGCGGGCCTTGCCTCCTTGCTTTCCGCGACCAGACATGATGGCAGAATAGGCAATAACTGCTGCTTTTTCAAGCAAACGATATGGAAAGGTGAAGCAATTTGGTGTAATTTATAAGATCTGTCGGGAGGGGTGAAGGAATAGTAGTTTGATTGGCTGAAAGCGGAGCTGCCTCAAACAGCCAATGGGAGGGCAGGAGCTAGACGCAATGGTTTACATCCTGCGGTACCGGAAATGACGGATTTCTTTTTATTTTATTTACCAATCGATGAACGCCACATTAAAGCTCCCGATTTACACCCAAGGGTTTTTAAAGGCAGAAGACTTTCGCGGAGCTGTTTATTTTAGTATGATAAGTTAAGGGTTTTGTTTGCCCAGTTCAGAGCTGGAAAACCCAAAAAAGAGCCTCCCTCCTCCTCCAAGAGCACAAAAGGCGACAACCACTCCCCTCAAGAGTATCGGATTTTCCCCTGAAGCTTTACATGACGCTTCAGGGCTAACCTTTCCTGTCTTTTATCGGCAGGCTCTGAAGGGAACGAAAGAAGTCGCCTCCCTGACCTTACCCTCGTCCGTGGCTCGCCCAATCCCCACCTCTTTGCTCCTCGGAATCGTTTGGCTGAGGATTGGATGCGAGTGCCATTCTCCTCTTTGGCCTCTGGGAGGCATCTGTCGCCACGATTCTTGTTCCCCTAGCTTTCAACATGGCTCCCTCTTTGGGTCTTTTCTCCGCTTTTCTTAACCCTGCTCCTGTTCTCTCCCTACTTCTAAATCCACGAGCTTAGCTGAACTGCCCTGTCCATCCCCAGCTCTCAACTCTGGGAAGGTTTACACGCTTCCAGCTAATCCAGACTCGTGTCTCTATCTCGGACCGCTGTATCAACCAACGCCTACCAGATACTTAACTGTCTCAACAAGCACCTTACAGCATTTGAACGTGAGCTCCGCGCTCCTTTGCCCCCTCCCAAGAACTGCGCCCACACACTTTCAGGTACCAAGATAGAATCTAATCTTGCCTTTGTCACAGCAGCGTAATGCTGTCATTTACTTCCTTAACATCCATCCGCCCTTTTCCAGTTCGTATTCTTCCCATAGGTTCCAGCGACAGCTCCCAATGGATCGTTCCGTCTCCAGACTCTGGCTTGAACGATTGTCCCCTATCACCACCTCCACTCCAGCACCTTTCCTTTAAAATCTCTCTGGAACCCTCTGTGTCTTACTTCCCAGTGTCTCCTCCGGCCCCCTGTTCAGCAAAATTCTCGCCCTTTCCTTGGTAATCCTGTGAAGGCAGTATGCTCGTAAGGAAAACGATAGAGGTCAACTCTACCCTTTTAGCGTTCTTCTAATAGTCTTTCTCATCTTTTTTTTTTTTTTTTTTTTTTTTTGAGTTTATTTTATGTGTATGGGTGTTTTTGTCTGTGCCTGGTGCCAGCGGTGGGTAAGGCCTCGAATCCCCTGAAACTGGAATTGCAGACGGCTGTTAGCCACATTGTGGGTGATGGGAATGGAACCTTGGTCCTCTAAAAGACTAACCAGCGTTCACCATGGCCTTTGAGCCATCTCTCCAGCACGTCAACTGGCATTTATTGAATGTGCGCCACTGGCCAATGAACAATACGGGTCATTAACACTAGTACAAATGATGAAATGTCTAGAAATGGCAGAAGGCTAGTGAATTATGTGAATTGAATTAGTTGATGTTAGCTATAAAAATTAGTCCTGGATGTTGTCACACACTTGGGGAATGCCCAAATCCAGTCATAGGGCATGAGGTCACAAGGCTAACCCCAACATTTAGAAGGCTGAAGTATGAAGATTGCCAGGAGTTCAAAACTAGCCTGGGCTACACAAAATTTTAAAAAAAAAAAAAAAAAAGTCAATGAAGGTGTTTCCTCAGTGAGTGAAATGTAACATAATTCAGAAAATAATCCTAATCCTTTTTTGATGGTTTCATTTCATTTTAGAAAGTGATGGGCAGTGGTGGCGCACGCCTTTAATCCCAGCACTCAGGAGGCAGAGCCAGGCGTATCTCTGTGAGTTAGAGGCCAGCCTGGTCTACAAAGTGAGTTCCAGGAAAGGTGTAAAGCTACACAGAGAAAC